CAGGCTCGTGGAGATAGGATTTCTCCTCCTAAACATCAGCCCTAAAAACTTCATGTTTCAACCACATAGGACTGAAAACTTTCATTACATAAGACATTTGTGAAACTAAATCTACAGGCGTCCACTGGCTGCCAGAGTCAAAGTCCCATAAAGACGAGGAGAGGATTCATCAGGAGGACATCCATCACAGGTGTCAAAAACACAGACAACAGTTGTGGCCTGAAGGGTCAGTTTCATGTTATTACAGAATCACACCCCCCCCCATCCCCCCCCTTCCCCTCCCCTGCCTGGTACAGAAAATACCCACAGTGTGGTTAAACTAGATCTGTTTTTTTTTTTTTTAGAAAAGATATTTTGTCAGGATTCCCTTTTTCCACTATGTTTCACCAGAGAAGACGGAGAAGGAAAAGTACGAGCGCAGGACTTTTTTTTTTTTTTTTTTATTATTAGAAGGTAGTTCCAATCCTGCCAGAGCCGAGGAAATAAATCTCTCTGCAGCTCCAGTCCTGGTTGATGTTGATCAACATAGGGTCTGTGAGGCCTTCCTGAGCCGGAGGCCCCTGGCATGGCCCGGGCTGGTGCTCCCTGTTGTCTACCTGTGTGTGTGTGTGTGTACAGGTCACAAACGCACACACACACACACTTCCAGGAAAAGCGGCAGCAGTGACGCCCAGAGCGACTGCTGCTGCCGCTGCTGCGCTGACCCCGGGCCGGGCTTCGACAACACACCAGAGAAATGCTGACGTCCGTCAGACGCACTGTTTTCCAGACTCTACTTGTCCAGACCCGGCACGGTGGTAATCAGGAATGTGATCAGGTCAAACCTTGCGTTGACCTGATCAGTCACCAAATGTACACGGTGGGAGGAAAAAAAAAATCACATTCCTCAGAACTATCAGGACCAGGACCAGAACTCTGAGACTGGTCCATAAATACTCAACGAAAAGAGAAACACAGTAAGAATGTAATTGTACATCAATATATATATATCGTATTGTTGCCCCTGTGTCGTGATACTGTATCTCAACTACATGGTTATTTACACGCGCTGATGCAACTCTCCATCATCATCAACGCCAACACGCCTCAGTTGAGTCTTCAACCTCAGGTCTGCGGCCCTGCTGGTGTCAGACTGTCATGGCGGTTCCATACGTTCTACAAGACGCTGTCAGGATCAATTCAAAACCATCACGTTCACTTGCTGCCAGTGTGGGTCCAATCAGCAGACGGCACCACTGTTGCTGTTGTCGTTGTTCAGACGTTTAGGCCACGGAGACCACTTTGTACAAGTGAAACCAACTTCTCGTACTCACTTCCTTTGGTTTCCACCAAAGCGGAAAACGAGACAAGTGTGAACACACCCATCGATTGATGCCTGTGGTGCAAACGCTCTTTGTTTTGGTTCTGGTCCTACTTTTTTGAACTGTGTCTTTTGGTCTCACACACACACATGAAACAACAACAACAACAACAACAACAACAACAACAACAACAGTAGGATGGCAGCAGTTGAAGGTGACCTTTGTAGCGTCTTCACAGACGGTGACTGATAAAAACCACATCACTGTACAACAACTCTCCTCCAACTTTCCCCGGAGACAAACAACTTGGCCTCAGCTGCTGTAATTGTGTCTCCTGTCTGTGGTAAAATGACCACAGACAGAAAGACAACAGACAACACAGTCCATCCCCAGAAGGAAACTATAGAGATGATTTTTTTTCCCTTCTTCTTCTTCTCTGATGAATGGAAACCTGACCAATCAAAATGCACCATTAATCAGAGGCCGGGGTTTAAGATTCACTTGAAAAGACATGGTGTAAATACAATTATCATTTGATTGAACAAATTGACCTAATTCCTCCTAAAATTATTTTACTTTCAATGAAAGCCTGTTTGACCAGCTCGATGGGAAGATTACAGCCTCGTAATTAATTAGTCGCCCTCAGATATTTGAATAGTATCAGGTTTATAGAAAGGGTTTCAACTTCTGCCTTTATCTCTGCTGAAAGAAAAATAAAATCATATAAATTGTTTTTTGTTCAAAGTCAGTTCCAAACCATCAGGAAAATAAGGAATTTAAACTTTTTTTAAAAACTATTTCAATAATTCAAGGCACAAACAGTGTATCGTGACTAACCTTATTTACGTACAGCTTTGGGTCACAACCCACCATTTGAGAAACACTAGTTGAGAGAACTAACTCATCGTTGTATTGTCTTATCAAAGTTTTGACAAACTCTTACTATTTTTGACTAATTATGTTTCATTTTATGACCTCTCACTCAGGTGAAAACCGGCGCAGGTTCTACTTCTTCTTCTTTATATTAAACGCGGCGTTGCTTCGTTAGCCTCTGACTGACCAGTCGGTCGACTCCGTCTGTAATTACGGCCACTGCCCACAGACAAATGGTCTTCCTCAAGGGCAATTTGGCCTGGGCTGGTAAAAGTCAAACAGTCTCTTTGTTGTGACCACATCGGTGTCAGGTAGAGCGGCCCACTGACAGACATATGGGCTGACACACACACACACACACACACACATGGGAGCATCCACTTACACTTACAAACATTTAAATACAGTCCAGGTCATAAACAGCAGCCCAGCAGACTTCACACCAGCTAATTGCTCATGTATGGCTCCTTTCACTGCCTCAAACACACACACACACACACACTCTCACACACACACTCCTGGTGCGCTGGACGCCTCCGTCTACAGCTGGGTGACGTCTTGCATGTGGTGCGCTGTTGATATAAGGAGCAACACGAGTGGAAAATTGGGGTTGGTGGGGCCAGACTGCTGACTTCCTGATAGGAAGAGAGGGCAGTTTGACCCACATATACTCTAACACACACACACACACACACAGAGAGTGTGTACAACAGGCTTCATGGGACACACACAAACAAAGAGGTAGTGTAGCTGGAGTGTAACGTCCTGTAACCTGGGCATAAATCCTGACCCACAATGGGAGGCAGGGAGGAGGGAGGAGGAGGGGGGGGATATTCAACGCCCACTGACCGACGAAGAACAACGACGTCAGGTTAATTTGTACTTGAAATGTTGGACTATGTTTGATGATCTAAGGTGGATCTCAGCGGCGTGTCGGTTTCCGTCGAGCACCTTTGAGCTCAGTTCTGATGTGCTGCAGCTCGGCGTTAGCAGCTAAACCCACAGGCGCTCCTGTAAAACCCAACAAGACTCTCGCAATTAAATCCCATCATCTCATTTAAGGTTATTTCGCTGCAGAGACCTCGACAAAAGCTCCCACTGTGCAACGGTTTCTGGTGTTTCACGTTTACGGCTCTGCTATGAAAAAGCCATCGGAGGCAGCGTGCGGATCCAGCAGCCATATTTCTAATTATGACGTTGTGCTGCGGTGTGTGGCGCTCCCCGCTTTAAAAAACATCCATTATGGGAACTGGAGCTGCGCCTGCCCACCATTACCACACAACACTCCTGACTAAACTGAGTTTAAATGCACAATAGAAGTCCAATCACAAGCCAAGCCATGGAGGGAAAATCACAATCATTTTGACAAAACATCCTGGAAAAAATGCACAGAATTTCAAAAAAAAAAAGCAGTAGCGTTTGGGTTACAGGAACGCCTGGCCCCGGGTGGAGACGCTTTAAACTGGATCTGATTCAGGTGTCAGTCAAAGGGACAAACAGGTTCACACCTGATCCACTTCCGCCGGTAGCAAAATCGGCTTTTGACACAACAACGCAATGAGCGTGTAATCTCTGGAGAGTCAGAGCCAACGGCCACTCTGTCATCAGAGTGATCAAATGAAAGAAAAATAAATAAATAAATAAAGCAGTGAAGAAATGATCCAATCATGTGAGTCACTTTCAACCTTTCACTCTCAGCCTCTGACCATGAGCTGATGAATGGAAACCTGACCAATCAAAATGCACCATTAATCAGAGGCCGGGGTTTAAGATTCACTTGAAAAGACATGGTGTAAATACAATTATCATTTGATTGAACAAATTGACCTAATTCCTCCTAAAATTATTTTACTTTCAATGAAAGCCTGTTTGACCAGCTCGATGGGAAGATTACAGCCTCGTAATTAATTAGTCGCCCTCAGATATTTGAATAGTATCAGGTTTATAGAAAGGGTTTCAACTTCTGCCTTTATCTCTGCTGAAAGAAAAATAAAATCAATTTCTTTTTGTTCAAAGTCAGTTCAAAACCATCAGGAAAATAAGGAATTTAAACTTTTTTAAAAACAATTTTAATAATTCAAGGCACAAACAGTGTATCGTGACCAACCTTATTTATGTACAGCTTTGGGTCACAACCCACCATTTGAGAAACACTAGTTGAGAGAACTACCTCATCAATGTATTGTCTTATCAAAGTTTCGACAAACTCTTACTATTTTTGACTAATTATGTTTCATTTTATGACCTCTCACTCAGGTGAAAACCGGCGCAGATTTAAATCAAATCCATGTTTTATGCAGAAGATATCGGACATTAAGGTACACGGCTGCGCAGTAGCAAAAATAAGATGCACTAATACTTCATAAATATTGTAAAAGTGCAAAACAACGAGCTAATGGATACGACGAGGGCCATAAAGAACCAAAGACAGGTCATGGTCACCGCACTCTGGCCCTGACCCTGGCTTCAGAATCGGGAAAATAAAAGTAAAAAAAAAACGGCCCCGGCTGTAGATCCCCGAACCTGCCGAAGAACTTTGAGCGGAAGTCGTAAAGACGGAAGAAGGAAAAAAAAGAAGCTAATTTTGCGTGATTTCACACGACTGCGCTATCAGTTTTTCCCCCCCGTGTACCGTGAAACAACAGTGGACTCTGCTGGAGTCCCTACAGCGCCATCATTCACTCACACTTTCCCTGTAGTTTGTTAGCGCGTTAGCCTGTTAGCTGCCACTGTGTTCTTACAAAGAAACGGGGGGGAAATAAAAGACAAGAATACGATGTGATGAAAGTGAAATAAAGTGTGTGTGTGGTGTGTTTTCAACCTTACCCGTATCTGCCGGGGTTTTCATTTCGTCTCACTTTTCCCTCCTCTTCTGCGTCGACTTGGAACTTTGGAGAGGAGTTAGCTGTAGCCTTGTTAGCCGAGACACCCACTCCCTTCTTCGGGGTTTGTTCTCACTGGAGCCTCGGTTAAAAAAAAATGTTCCGGCCCCTTTTCAAACTAAAATGTTCGGCTTAAAAAAAAGCTAGAGACAAACGTAGCAACTGAAAGTAAATAAAACCGTCAATGCATGCAGTTTTTCTCGTAACGGTAGCTTGAAAAAGTTTAGACCGGAGTGTTTGTGCGTTTGAACACGGGCGAGAAAAGTTGCCCCGAGTGTCTGGAGGTGGAGGCGGCGGAGCTCCAGCACACCGGAGAAGAAGAGTTCGAAAAAAAAGGAGGGTGGAGGTTTTAGCGGATTCTCCTTCTCTGCTGCTCCTGTTGTGGCTGAAGTTGAAGCTGGAGATTTAAATCAAATCCATGTTTTATGCAGAAGATATCGGACATTAAGGTACACGGCTGCGCAGTAGCAAAAATAAGATGCACTAATACTTCATAAATATTGTAAAAGTGCAAAACAACGAGCTAATGGATACGACGAGGGCCATAAAGAACCAAAGACAGGTCATGGTCACCGCACTCTGGCCCTGACCCTGGCTTCAGAATCGGGAAAATAAAAGTAAAAAAAAAACGGCCCCGGCTGTAGGTCCCCGAACCTGCCGAAGAACTTTGAGCGGAAGTCGTAAAGACGGAAGAAGGAAAAAAAAGAAGCTAATTTTGCGTGATTTCACACGACTGCGCTATCAGTTTTTCCCCCCCGTGTACCGTGAAACAACAGTGGACTCTGCTGGAGTCCCTACAGCGCCATCATTCACTCACACTTTCCCTGTAGTTTGTTAGCGCGTTAGCCTGTTAGCTGCCACTGTGTTCTTACAAAGAAACGGGGGGGAAATAAAAGACAAGAATACGATGTGATGAAAGTGAAATAAAGTGTGTGTGTGGTGTGTTTTCAACCTTACCCGTATCTGCCGGGGTTTTCATTTCGTCTCACTTTTCCCTCCTCTTCTGCGTCGACTTGGAACTTTGGAGAGGAGTTAGCTGTAGCCTTGTTAGCCGAGACACCCACTCCCTTCTTCGGGGTTTGTTCTCACTGGAGCCTCGGTTAAAAAAAAATATACCGGCCCCTTTTCAAACTAAAATGTTCGGCTTAAAAAAAAAGCTAGAGACAAACGTAGCAACTGAAAGTAAATAAAACCGTCAATGCATGCAGTTTTTCTCGTAACGGTAGCTTGAAAAAGTTTAGACCGGAGTGTTTGTGCGTTTGAACACGGGCGAGAAAAGTTGCCCCGAGTGTCTGGAGGTGGAGGCGGCGGAGCTCCAGCACACCGGAGAAGAAGAGTTCGAAAAAAAAGGAGGGTGGAGGTTTTAGCGGATTCTCCTTCTCTGCTGCTCCTGTTGTGGCTGAAGTTGAAGCTGGAGCAACGGAATGCGGCGAGTCTAGTGGATGTTGATTCCGTGTGTTGTAAGGACGTCGCCTGCTCGATTCCTCCTCCACATCAGCGTCTCCAGCGCCGTCACCGTCATCGTCCTCCTCGCCGACACTATCTCTCCAGGGTTAAAAACAACTCGCAACTCTTCCCTCTCTCTTTCTCTCTGCCTTCGTCTTTCTTTCTTTCTTTCTTCTTTCTCCGGCTCTCGGACTTTTTCTTTTTCCACTCACTTCGTGCTGCTCTCTCCCTCTGACCCCCTCCTTCCTCTGGCGGGGTGTCGTGTTTCGCGGGGCCGCCCACGCTGACCCATGGAGGGAGGGAGGGAGGACGAAATTCAACGCCCACCGACTGACAAAGATCGCCTATGTTTTCATTGATGATGGTCACTCATACTCCTCAATGTTCAACTATTTTATTTTATTTTTTGGTTACTCCATAATGGAAACTTGGTTAATGTGGTAAAAACACGTCGCCCAGAGTTTAATATAATTTTTATTTCACGACGTTCACAGAAATCGGGGCAAAATGTTTCATTTTCAAGCAAATTTAGTGACGTAAACACAATACTTTTGACCATCTTTTGTTTGTTTAAATTTCACATATTGTACAGTTTGTATTTTGATGTGTTATATCAATTAAAACTGTGTGTGAATGTGTGTTCCTTTTTCGAATGTTCTACGGACCGGTTTCTTTCATCGCGATATATATCGTTTGTAATAAGGCAGTAAATTGTGACGAAACCCAGCGATTCGCCCTGTTTCAAAGATAAAAAACAAAGTTTACTTTTCAAGTTAACGGCTCTTCAACTCTTTATTTAAGTCGTTTTTTGTTTTGTTTTTTTGGAGTGGCTCATCGCGCCAGGTTAGACGATCCTGGAGGCGCGTCACTGCAGTGCCGCGGACGATGCGTGTGCGTGTTTACCTACGGACACGCAGACGACGAGGGTCACGGAGAGACAAGGCTGCGAGGATGGTAGAAAAGAAGGAAGGAAGGAAGAAAGGAATCGAGGAAGGAAGGAGGGCGCACACCTTCCTCTCCGGTGAAGGACCCTTCAGCTGTAACGTCTGCTCCGAGGAGGAGACGGAGGAGCAGCAGTGATTAACAACTGAAAGTGGAGGAAATGTTAGTCGTGGAGAAGTNNNGGGGGGAAATGTTAGTCGTGGAGGAGGTGCCACGCCTCCACCCACCCACCCACCCACCCATCAATCATCACTCCTCTGTTCATCCCTCATCTATCCTTGGATGAACACTCCTAACTTTCCTCTCTTTCCTCCTTCCTTCCTGCCTCATCCCTCAAAAGTACAAACTGTCTCTCAGGTTTTCTACATACATCCACACAGTTATATATAAATACATATATAAATATATGTGGATATATGTAGAAAATCTTATATATATATTTATATAGTGTTTTCTACAAACAGTATATCCACAGTTTCATATATATTTATATATAAATACATATATATTTAATTTATATATGTAAATATATGAAACTGTGTAGCTATATGTAGAAAACACTATATAAATATATATAGGGTTTTCTACATATATCCACACAGTTTCATATATATTTATGTATATATAAATATATGAAACTGTGAATATATGTAGAAAACTATATATATATATATTTATATATATATGTAGATATATTTCATCACACTGGTCAAAAACACACCTACTTTTAATTTTTCTTTTTTTTCTTTTCTTTTTTTAACTGTTTCAATGTTTTCTGTTCATCTGAGGACAAGTCTGGACAAAGACCTGGACAGTCTGGGGTGAGGAGGACTTTTCAAGGCTGGGGTTTTTTATTATTATTATTATTATTATTATACTGTGACAATGAGGACCATGATGCACCAGGATGACGTCAGGACTCACATCCACCTCCAAAAAGATGTTTTTTTTAATTTCATCCTTCATTTACTCAGAATTGAATCTCGTACAGTGGTACATTGGGGGGGGGGGGGGGTCCTTGGTACTGTGGTTCCTTGGTACTGTCTCAAAGCAGCGGTACTTTGTGGTGGAAACTTTTCACATTTTCATCAAGAACTGGAACTGTTTCCTGCACCAGAACTTTACGTTCAGTGGAAACAGTAGTTTGT